CTTCAGCCACCCCAACCAGGGAACAAGGGGGCTAAAGGATCTAAACACCACCTCCAATCAGGCCGTGGCTAAAGGCTGCTCCGAGGGGAATGCTCGTTTCCAGGTACTTCCAACCTGCCGTGTGAGTGGGAAGCATAATCCAGTGGCACAGGAAAAAAAAAAAAAAAGCCCTCAAGTAATTAAGGGCAGGTACTGGCTGCTGAAGAAAGTCAGTGTGCCGACAGCGGCGAGGGCGAGGACAACCGCGCAGAGGGTCAACAGCCCCTGCCCATCGGACGCTCCGTTCCCCATGAACGCGCACTCCCCTCTGCGGCCTCTGTGTCTGTCGCAGGACTGGGGGCCGGGAAAGGGTGGTGAACACCATCGGACACCACCGCCACAGGGGTGCCGCCTATATTCTAGCAGAGAAAGCACATAAACCACCAAGTAATGTGACTACAAACTGGGAGAGATGATTTAAAGGAAAGAACTAGGGTGCTATAATTAAGAATAATCAGAGTGGATTTAGTGTGGTCAGAAAAACAGATTCCAAACTAAGGGGGCAGATCCTTTCTCTCCAGGTAAATGGAAGTTTACAGAGACTCAGTCAGACTCTGGGTGTTACCATCAAACGCGAGTCACGATGTGGCCCCCCACCTCAGTCCGCTGGGGCTGCTCTGACAAAAATACACAGACCAGGTGACTTAAACATGTATTTCTTACAGTTCTGGAGATTGGAAAGTCCAAGATCAAGGCACTGGTGGGCTCGATACCTGGCAAAAGGCTGATTCCTGGTCACAGACGGCCAGCTTCTCCCTGGGCCTTCAGGTGGCCAAAGCGACTGGGGAACTCTCTGGAGGCTCTTTCCTCAGGGCATGGATCCCATCCATAAGGGCTCCTCATGACCTGGTCAGCTCCCAAAGGCCCTTCTCCAAATATCTTCACACTGGGCATTAGGTCTCAATATATGAATTTGCATGGGGCACATTTAGTCAACAACACTGTCATTCCTCTAAGACATGGGCACCCAGTCCCAGTCAAAGATGGCTATAGTAATATCAATGCAAATGACGAGGATATTGAATGGCAGGATTACTGGGTAAAGTTCCAGTAAGAAGATAGCATTATCCATCCAGCACAACCAGCTTCCTGTATACTTCCAACATCATACCTCTTCAAAAATCTTTCAAGCAGACCACAACCACCCTCCCTAACCCTAAGTGAAAGGTATACTTCTGAATGTCTTAAAACCAAGGATCAGCTCTTAAAGTCTACACGCTGATCCCATGTGAATGAGCCTTGAAACCTGAAGTGAAGTTATGCTAGTTTAACACCCATTGTCATGTGCAGCTTTCTGAAGATAAACTATGACTGCACAGGACTTCAAATGGGTAACCACTGTTGCCTGAAAGATATGTCTTCAGTAGCCAAGCAGTGACCCTTAAGCCAGATGAAACACTACCAGGTTATTAAGAAAAGTTTTGCTTTCAAAAAAAATGTGAGCTGACATGTTTAATAAGCATACTAGGAAAGAGGCAGTAGGGCTGCTGCAAAAAAAGAACCTCAGCCATGACCTCCTTCTGGGTGAATAAAAATCAGCTGTATTACCAAGACGGGCCAAGGTATGCTGAAAGCATCAAAATCTCCTCTTTCACAGAAAGAGATTTCATTGCTCTGTGGCTAAAACCCAATTTCTTCCTGTATCCTCAGAGGGTCCCTTTAACTTTCCCATGCCCAGAGGGTGGTCGATACATATTTAAAAATTAAACTGGAAGAATAGGAAAGTAGTTTAACAAAATAATATTTTTAAATAGTCATATTTTTAGAATACAAGATAATAAAAAAATCCTATGTTTTAGGAAAGGAAATGACCTCTATTCCAACTTACTTTCATTGGAAAATAGAGTGCATGCTCCCTTGTTTAGAAATAGAGTCCAGAAAACTTGTATTTGTGAACTTCTGTGTCCTATCTGTCTTGGTTTGGGTTGTCCAGAAGCAGACCCTGAGGCAAAGTTTTAAGTGCCAATGGATTACTAGGGAAATAATGGGGAAATAGGGAGTTGGGAAATGAAGCAAGGGAAGAATGGAGAGCAGCTAATAAAGGGGGCAGAGTCAAAGCAGCTCAGACACCGAATGACTGAAGCTTAATTCTGCTGCAGCAACTCCAAGAGCCCATGTAAAATGCTTCAGCCACCCCAACCAGGGAACAAGGGGGCTAAAGGATCTAAACACCACCTCCAATCAGGCCGTGGCTAAAGGCTGCTCCGAGGGGAATGCTCGTTTCCAGGTACTTCCAACCTGCCGTGTGAGTGGGAAGCATAATCCAGTGGCACAGGAAAAAAAAAAAAAAAGCCCTCAAGTAATTAAGGGCAGGTACTGGCTGCTGAAGAAAGTCAGTGTGCCGACAGCGGCGAGGGCGAGGACAACCGCGCAGAGGGTCAACAGCCCCTGCCCATCGGACGCTCCGTTCCCCATGAACGCGCACTCCCCTCTGCGGCCTCTGTGTCTGTCGCAGGACTGGGGGCCGGGGAAGGGTGGTGAACACCATCGGACACCACCGCCACAGGGGTGCCGCCTATATTCTAGCAGAGAAAGCACATAAACCACCAAGTAATGTGACTACAAACTGGGAGAGATGATTTAAAGGAAAGAACTAGGGTGCTATAATTAAGAATAATCAGAGTGGATTTAGTGTGGTCAGAAAAACAGATTCCAAACTAAGGGGGCAGATCCTTTCTCTCCAGGTAAATGGAAGTTTACAGAGACTCAGTCAGACTCTGGGTGTTACCATCAAACGCGAGTCACGATGTGGCCCCCCACCTCAGTCCGCTGGGGCTGCTCTGACAAAAATACACAGACCAGGTGACTTAAACATGTATTTCTTACAGTTCTGGAGATTGGAAAGTCCAAGATCAAGGCACTGGTGGGCTCGATACCTGGCAAAAGGCTGATTCCTGGTCACAGACGGCCAGCTTCTCCCTGGGCCTTCAGGCGGCCAAAGCGACTGGGGAACTCTCTGGAGGCTCTTTCCTCAGGGCATGGATCCCATCCATAAGGGCTCCTCATGACCTGGTCAGCTCCCAAAGGCCCTTCTCCAAATATCTTCACACTGGGCATTAGGTCTCAATATATGAATTTGCATGGGGCACATTTAGTCAACAACACTGTCATTCCTCTAAGACATGGGCACCCAGTCCCAGTCAAAGATGGCTATAGTAATATCAATGCAAATGACGAGGATATTGAATGGCAGGATTACTGGGTAAAGTTCCAGTAAGAAGATAGCATTATCCATCCAGCACAACCAGCTTCCTGTATACTTCCAACATCATACCTCTTCAAAAATCTTTCAAGCAGACCACAACCACCCTCCCTAACCCTAAGTGAAAGGTATACTTCTGAATGTCTTAAAACCAAGGATCAGCTCTTAAAGTCTACACGCTGATCCCATGTGAATGAGCCTTGAAACCTGAAGTGAAGTTATGCTAGTTTAACACCCATTGTCATGTGCAGCTTTCTGAAGATAAACTATGACTGCACAGGACTTCAAATGGGTAACCACTGTTGCCTGAAAGATATGTCTTCAGTAGCCAAGCAGTGACCCTTAAGCCAGATGAAACACTACCAGGTTATTAAGAAAAGTTTTGCTTTCAAAAAAAATGTGAGCTGACATGTTTAATAAGCATACTAGGAAAGAGGCAGTAGGGCTGCTGCAAAAAAAGAACCTCAGCCATGACCTCCTTCTGGGTGAATAAAAATCAGCTGTATTACCAAGACGGGCCAAGGTATGCTGAAAGCATCAAAATCTCCTCTTTCACAGAAAGAGATTTCATTGCTCTGTGGCTAAAACCCAATTTCTTCCTGTATCCTCAGAGGGTCCCTTTAACTTTCCCAGTAGTAGGATGACTCAGAAGGTTGCAGATCAGCTTCAACATGTTTGTTCTTAAAACAGAAATAGACTCAGAAACACAGAAAAGAGATGGTGGTTTCCATGGGAGAGGAACATGAAGGGGTAGAGTAGATAAAGGGGATAAAGAGGCACAAAAATATCAATTATAGTATAAATTAATCACAGGAATGAAAGTCCAGCATAGGAAATATAGTCAATAACATTGTAATGTGCTTCTGTGTTGACAGAAAGTAACCACACTTACCATAATATAGATAACTGCTGAACCACTACACTCTATACCTGAAACCAATACAATGTTGTAGATCAACTACACTACAATGAAAAATATATTTTTTTATGGAGGTTCCTCAAAAAACTAAAAATAGAAATACCATTTGACCCTAGAATCCAACTCCTTGGAATATACCTAAAGAATACAACTTCTCAGGTTCAAAAAGACATATGCATCCCTATGTTTACTGAAGTACATTTTACAATAGCCAAGATATGGAAGCAACATAAGTGTCCATCTGTACATGAATGGATAAAGAAGATGTGGTACATATATACAATGGAATACTATTTAGCCATAAGAAAGAAACAAATCCTACCATTTGCAACAACATAGATGGAGCTGGAGGACATTATGCTCAGTGAAATAAGCCAGGTGGAGAAAGACAAATGCCAAATGATTTCCCTCATTGGTGGAGTAAAACAATGAAGCAAAACTGAAGAAACAAAATGGCAGCAGACTCAGAGACTCCAAGAATGAGCTAGTGGTTACCAAAGGGGAGGGGTGTGGGAGGGTAGGTGGGAAGGGAGGGAGAAGGGGACTGAGGGGTATTATGTTTAGTACACATGGTGTGGGGAATCACAGGGAGAACAGTGTAGCACAGAGAAGGCACATAGTGAATCTGTGGCATCTTGCTGCATTGCTGGACAGTGACTGCATTGGGGTATGGGTGGGGACTTGATAATATGGGTAAATGTAGTAACCACATTGTTTTTTCATGTGAAGCCTTCATAAGAGTATATCAATCATACCTTAATTAAAAAATTATTTCCCAATTGTTTGTTGCTAATATTAAAAAAAAAGATTTAAAAATATATATATATATATTTTTTTAAGTGTCTGTTCTCACTAAATATCAAGGATAAGGTTCAGCTCTGCCTCTTTTCATCCCCCATGTGCAAATCTGGGACTCCTGGAACCTGTCTGTGAAAGCCTGTATGTGGTGGGAGACAACACAGAGCCAAGGAGACTGGTAATGAGACTCAACTCTACCGCTTCTAAGTAACCTCGGGCTTGTCACTTAATCCCTCTTAGGCTCAGTTTCTTCATCTGTAAATATAAATAATGCAAATATTATTGTAGAGATGGAGCAAATTTGCCTAGTTTGTTGTCTACTGTAAAAAGTTATACTCTGAACATTTTGTCAAATAAACATTAAGACTGGAGGACAACCATTTGGAAAAACATTGCATTTATTTCTAAAAGAATTCTAACAATACTTCATTTTCTTTCTGCTATAAAATGAAGTCTTTGGATTTCATATGGGTAGGGATCCACCTGTCTTTATTCAAGCCCACCACATGCAGCAGACCTTCAGTGCTCTCTATTGATTCCTGCCTCCACTGTCTGCCTGGATATCACATATCCCTGTGTGGTAACCAGCCTCTAAGCCAATCTCCAATGATTCTTGTGTCCTGCTGTTCACGCCCTTGTGTATTCATCCCACGTGGACTAGCACTGACCTAGTCAATAGGCTGTTGTGGAAATGATAGTGTAACTTCCAGGGCTGGTTCACAGCAGACAGTGCACTTTCAGCCTTGCTCCCTCTTGGGTCACTCATTCTGGAGCAACAGAGGCCACGTCAGAAGGACACGCAGCAGCCCCAGGTAGAAGTTCACATGCTGAGGAGCTGAGACCTCCTGACCAGCAATAATGTGCCAGCAATGTGAGTGAATCACCTTGAAAGCAGATTCTCCAGTCAGTCAAGCCTTCTGACAGCTACAACCAGGGCCATCTTCATAACTGAAATCTTTCTGTGAGCCAGAAGTAGGAAAGCCACTCCAAAATTCCCAACCCACAGACACTGTAGAAATACAAAAGTTTATTGTTGCCTTAAGTTACCAACTTTTGAAGTGACTTGTCATTTGGCTAATGATAACTAGTATGGCATGAAAATTTCATTCCTTCAGATAGCCACCATCCAAAAGACAAACAAGAACAAATGTTGGTGAGGTTGTGGAGAAAGGAGAATCCTCCTACACTGCTGGTGGGAATGTTAACTAGTTCAACCATTGTGGAAAGCAGTATGGAGGTTCCTCAAAATGCTCAAAATAGAAATACCATTTGACCCAGGAATTTCACTTCTAGGAATTTACTCTAAGGATGCAGTAGCCCAGTTTGAAAAAGACATATGCACCCCTATGTTTATCACAGCACTGTTTACAATAGCCAAGAAATGGAAGCAACCTAAGTGTCATTCAGTAGATGAATGGATAAAGAAGATGTGGTACATATACACAATGGAATATTTCTCAGCCATAAGAAAAAAACAGATCCTACCATTTGCAACAACATGGATGGAGCTAGAGGGTATTATGCTCAGCGAAATAAGCCAGGCAGAGAAAGACAAGTATCAAATGATTTCACTCATATGTGGAGTATAAGAACAAAGAAAAAACTGAAGGAACAAAGCAACAGCAGAATCACAGAGCCCAAGAATGGACTAACAGTTACCAACGGGAAAGGAGCTGGGGAGGATGGGTGGGAAGGGAAGGATAAGGGGGTGGGGAAGAAAAGGGGCATTATGATTAGCATGTATAATATGGGGGGAGGGGCACGGGGAGGGGTGTGCAACACAGAGAAGACAAGTAGTGATTCTACAGCATCTGACTACACTGATGGACAGTGACTGTAATGGGGTTTGTAGGGGGGACTTGGTGATTGAGGGAGTCTAGTAAACATAATGTTCCTTATGTAATTGTAGATTAATGATATCAAAAAAAAATTTCATTCCTTCAACCAACGAGAGCAATGCTTGTTTTCTATCAGTCGTGAAGGATAAGTTTCAATGGTACAAAGCAGTTCATAATATACTTGGTATTTGAAGTGACATAAAAGTCATATAAGAGTGCAAAGGTCATGATTGCTCTATCCTGTTCCTCAAGGCCTTGTCAGAAGGCAGAAAGCATTAAATAGGATATTTATTTCCAAACATTCATAGCCCTATTAATATTTTTAGTACCAAAGAATAATACATTTTCCTATCTTTGCTATGATTTTGCACTAAATTCTGCCTCTGTCTGTAGAAGTAACACAACTGCAAGTCCAAATACCAGATAAGTCATTTACTACCTACATATACTTGGAACAATTTCTTAGCATTTCTGAATCTCACATTCCTCTTCTGCAAAATTTAATGAATTCACACTATACTGAATTGTGGAAATTAGGGATATAATTCATGACACAAATTATATGTTTCTGGAGTAGAAGAGAATAACACCATCACCTCCAAAACCAAGCTAAAAGTTCTTGAATTAGATAATGCCTTTGCTTTTGAAATTTGCAAAGATTAAATCGGTTGCTAATATTCATTGTAAGTGAGGCTTGAGAAGTAGGTCTCTTTTACCCACAGTGGTTAAGAATATAATTGTTGTAACATTTCTGAAGGATAATGTGTCAAAAGCCATAAGAGATGATGCCCTTGACTCAGCAATTCTGTATCTAAAAATTCATCCTAAAGGAAATGGTTGAAAAGTGACCCAAAATGTAAAAGATATTCTTCACAGGACTGTCCAAATTAATGAAAACTAGAAATAACTTAAATTTCCACCAATAGGGAATTGGTTGATCTAACCAAAACTGAATCTAACTCTAAAGGGGAACCTTTAGTATTACATAGGCTGTCTGTCTGAGAAGATGAGTTAGACAGAGACTTCTGGTTAAAGTTTGCTGACGTGAACATGTGTTTTTCTTTTTTCTTCCTCAAAGATCCATTTAAATAATAGCCAAAAAATGGAAATGGTATAATACCATTACAGAAAGGAAAATAAGATGATGGCATAAGTGGATAAGGGATTTCAAGAGCTTTCTGATAGACATAAGCAGCATGTTAAAGCTCGACTATAAGATGAATGAAAATTAGAAGTAAAGAGTAGAAAATCTCTGAAACTTTTGGGACTCAGAGACTAAAGGAATAATGAAGAGGGAAAGGAAGGCATGTAAATAAAAACAAGGGAGTAATTTAAAATCTCTATTCACTGTAAAAACCTTCTATATTCACAAACTACAATCTTAGCACCTGGCGTATGACTACATTTCTTCTCCCAGATCCCTAACCACTCAACCCAAAGAGATTTCCTTGTTGACCACCTCCCAGATCACTCTATAGATCTTTCTTCCTTAAACATAAGACAAACTAGATTTTCAAGAAAAATATGCATCATTAAAAAATATGATGTACACAAGTAAAAAGAAAAATTGATTCTAGATGAAAAGAGGTTTTAAGGAAGAAAAGATATCATTTAAAGTCCCTAATTGATATCCTCTAAAAAATTCATGGTTATTACTTTCACAAAATGATAACAACACAATATTGTGGAAAGGAAATATCATAGAACATGAAAGAATTCTTCACTATTAAAACTATGGTTGCAAGTGCTAGAAGATTTTCTGAATTTTGTTCAAAACCCAAAGGCAGTCAAATGATAGATTAAATATTTGAATATTAAAATGTTTAAACAGCTGCATGAAAAAATAAGCAGAGTCAAAAGAAAAATTCTAAACTGGGAGAAAATATTTGCAACATATATCACAAATGAGAGCTAATCTTCCTGGTACCTGAACCACTTTTTACTCTCAGGAAGAAAAAGAATAAACCCAATAGAAAAAATGGGAATAAAGAGTTCAAAAAAGAGAAAGGCAAATAACTCTGACACACATGAAAAGAACTTCGACTTCACTGTAGTAAAAGAAACACAAATTAAAATAACACTGAGATGCCATTTTTTACCAATGGAGATTGCAAAAATCCAAAAAGCTGACATACTCAGTTGGCAAAACTGATGAGAAACAAACACTATCATACATTCCTGATAAAAATAGAAAATGGTACAGTCCCCTGGAGGAATATTTGGTAAAAACATAACAAAATTATATATGCATTTACCCTTGGACTCAGCAATCTCACGTCTAGGATTCCATGTGAAAATGCAATAAGCCAACTACAAAACAATATACATGCAAAACTGACTCACTATAGCATTATTTGCAAAAACAAAATATCAGAATCAATCCAAATGTACATCAGTCAAAGACTGGTACAACAAATACAGTGCATCTACCCAGTGGAGAACAGTCTCTAAGCATTGTAATGGAATGACTTCCAGGGGATATTATTTAGTGAACAAGCAAGGTACAGAACAGTATATATGTTGTACTACCTTCTATATAGAAGTGAGAAATTAAGAATGTCTGTGTGTGCATGCATGTATGTGTGTGTGTTTGATTAATTTTGTCAAACAACAGTCAAGAATATAAGGACTAATGAAATGATTGCCTTGAGGGGAAGATGGGAATGGAGTGGGACGGAAGAAAGATTTCTTTGAGTAATGATTGTTATGTGTGAACTATGTTTATCAGTTAAGGTTTAGTCAGGAGATAAAAGCACACACCAACAATATGAATAGAAGGAATTAACATAAAGAATTGTTAACTAATTGACTGAAAGGGTAGAAAGAGCACAAATATATCAAGAGGGCAGTAACTGCAGGAAGCAGCTACCACCTTTAGGGCAAGGAGAACAATTAGAAGATGCTGGAATTACTAAACTTTAGAAATGATGTAACTTTAGAAGAGCTCTGCTAAGCTGAAATGGAGTGCTGGCAGCTCAGGTGTGCTGGGGTCCGAGTTCAAAGACAGAACCAATGAGCTGGTCCTCTGGGGGAAGCTGGTTCTATACGTATCTGAAAACTGCATACTGGATTTAACTGCTTGTATGGGAAAGAACTTGTGCTCAGGAGTGGAAAAACATGTCTAGGGTGGCAAGCACAGGAACGAGAAGCAGATAAGGAGCCCCACAACGTAAAAACACGAAGGACCAAGTTCCTTCTTCCTTATCCATCACAAGGTCTCGCTCTAGCGCCCCCTTTGGAAGATCACAGCAGCGAGCCAGCAGGAAAAACAGAAATGAGGGCAGCAGAGCCCCAGCCCAGCATCACAGAGCTGGCTGCAAAAGGCTGATGGATAATAGCT